GCAATGGCCGTGACTCATCCACATGTCAGACACTGACAAAAGGATGTACAACAGGCAGTACAAGGCTACAGGGTAAATCCTGAGAGTACTTAGCTGACCTTATCAGATACAAAAGTCACATTTCTTGGTATATAGGTCTTGCTATATCTTGGTCTTAACCATCCAGCACAAAAGTATAAAAACGAGGTATATAAAGTAAATTAAAAAAAAAAAGTCAATTCATATTAATACGATGAGCTGTAAAAGGCTCAAGTCAATAACTTCTGAGGATAACCCACTAATATTATTGACTGCTAGACAGTGTTAGATTGTTTAATTGAATTCAAACACCTGTAATATTTAGATGCCAATAGAATATTCACCTCTGACAGGACAAAAAAAAAAAATTAAAATTAAAATTCAAAAAAAAAGATACAAAGGAAAGATCATTTTGTATTTATACATACAAAATAGGATAAATTTACAGCTACTTTCGCTCAACTCAATGAGAAGAAAGAGGTGTACTAACAGTGTTTGGACAGAATATCCTGTCTGCTTCTTATACTGTGGATAACCACTAAGAAGATGACAATGTACAGTGTATTGACTATCAAAACTGTCCTATTAATCAGCTGTGAAACTGTCTCATTCATATTTATTTCTCAATAAAAAAATAAATATATATATTAAAAAAATGACTTAATCGCCATTCATTTTTCCCATTACCAAAAATAACAAAAGGGACAAACAGCATAGGCTTCATGTTTGGACATGAAACAAAATTAACTTTAATTTTACTGTTTTCTAGTCAGATTCTAGACCAAAAAAATCAGTCTTACAGAGAACTGAAACAAAGGATAATGATAAAATGATATACCTCACTGGCAGACATATTCTTCACCTGTTCCGGTTTTAGTTCTGTAAAATATAAAAAGTCATACTTTAAAAAACAAAACTTTGAAAGACCCAATCCAAAAATGGGCATTTAAGATGAATATACACTTCTTAGATGAAGAAATACAAATAGCAAATATATGTATGAAAAAATATGGGCTGGGGATATAGCTCAGCAGTACAAGCACCTGCTGAGAAAGTGCGAGTTCCCAAGTTCAATTCCTGGTATCAAAAAAAAAAAAAAAAAAAAAGACTATTAAGTGAAACTGCTTAAAGTGAAAAATCAAATACAACAGTAGCTATCTAAATCATTGTATTAAAAGAGAAACATTAACACAGAGCAAATACAGTTTATAAATGTTGATGACAGAATAGTATTCCTTATGTGGAGTAAGCAGGAGAAATTCAATTTCTTACATCGACCCCAAAACAGATTTTCCAAATTTGAAAGTCAAATTTCAAGAATATATTTGCTCTTCATAAAAGGCATTAGATTGGTTTTTAACCTAAAGCTGTTGTCTCTTTAGAATAATAAATGTTCTAAAAAAAAAATTAAAAAAAGAAATGATTTATACATTAGCTACTGCTTTTGATCTGTCAGAAAGCGTGAACTCTTTCTGTCCAGTGTATCTTACTGTACTGTACTATATTTCAAAACACATTTGATTATTAGTAATGGAAACAAAAAAGCAAAACCATAGATGAGGACTATTATAAATGAAAATGTGAGGGATGTAGCTCAGAGGCACAGGGCCTGCCTGTTATGCGCAAGGTCCTTAGTTTGATTCCCAGTAGCAAAAAAGAAAAAAAAAAATTTGCATCATATAGCATGTGCTATTATGCTGTATTACTCTATCACAATGAATTATATCTAACCTAAAAAACTCAATTGTGATATATTGCAAACAACAGATTATTTATCTCAATCAAAATATTCAATGAATGATGTACTAGGGTAATTTTTTTCTTTATATAAGTTACTTTATGGATATTAATTTCAAATGAAAAAGAGCCAGAAGAGGCTGGGGAGATGGCTCAATGGAATAAGCATTTCCCTGGCAAG